TCTGTACCACCAATTATTCACCAATTATTTGGTGAAAATTTTCAACACCCGGTTAATTAATCAATGAAAAATTTTCACTACCCAATTAACCGGATAATTGGTGAATATCATTCGGCGGATACAACCACTAATTTTATGTACCCTGTCGATCTTGCGGATAAATAACAACAACAACAATAATAATACAACGATACCGATTCTTAAATAACAAATAACAAGATGCCCCCTAAATTACAAAGTAATCGTAACCACGAGTTAGATAGCTACTCAGTCCTAATAATAATAATGATAATACTTATTAATTCGCGGAAATTGAAATATAGTATTAGTGCAGTCTTTTACAACAAATTAGAATAAGGATTTGATAATTTCCATAATTTATGCCTATACATTCATGTTTATAATTCAAAAAAATATAAACTTTAATTAAAAAGAAAAATTTAATTGGAAAAAATATAAACTTTAATTAAAAAGAAATTTAATTGGAAAAAATATAAACTTTAATTAAAAAGAAATTTAATTGGAAAAAATATAAACTTTAATTAAAAAGAAAATTTAATTGGAAAAAATATAAACTTTAATTAAAAAGAAAATTTAATTGGAAAAAATATAAACTTTAATTAAAAAGAAAAATTTAATTTTTTACATTATACAAATATTTACCAAAATATTGTAACATCCACTTACATTAAACAATAAAAACTTAAAAGCTATTGTTATATTTCATCATTCGATCATTTAAATCCGCAAAAAAAAATCTTTTGATTTCAATTTTTTTTACAAATCAAAAATAATTATACAAATAATAAATAAATAAGTTAATTTATTAAAATAATTTCGATAAAACCAGAAAGATCGAAAAGTACTGTGCACAGGTAAAAATTTTCCCGAAATAATAAGATGCTTCCTACCAGTCAAGTAAATCATGAGCCATTTACGCGTTCAGCCCTAATAATAATAATGTTTGCTAATTCACGGAAATTGAATAACTTATATTCTAAATATTTTCTATAATCTTGTCAGAGGTTACATCTAAAGCTAAGCCAAACCCCTTTCGTTTTTTTTCCATTTAAGGAAAATCGTCAAAGATGATGAATGTTTTTAAAGCTTATTTGTATACAAACCATCAATTCAATTTATTTAATTTCCGTTTAATATATCATCATCATCCAACAGTATTAGAATAAAGGAGGAAAATAAAAGTATTTAAATCGAACAGAATCATCTTTTTTTACAAATCAAAAATTATAAAAATGTCATCTGAATATACCAATAATGCCTGTATTCGATGCAGTATTAAACAAATCAAATGCGATAATGAAAAGAATTGTTGTAATAATTGCCACAAAGCAGGAAATGATTGTCATCGAAACAAGGCTATAAAAAAAATAATCAAGGATAAACTCAAACTGAATAAATTATACAAAAATTATTATAATCGATGTAAATACAATCTTCGATATTTTCACATTAATATTTACAAAATTTTCAAAAAAATTTAATTTGTATTTTTGTTTTTAATTTCACAAGTTGAAGAACTTCAAGCTTTACAAACTCAAAATACTGAGCAGGCAATGTTAAAACTATCGTTAGAAGTTGAAGCACTTCGTCAACAAATTTTACAAAACCAACTTATTATCAACGAACAAAGAATGTCAAATCCATTATTAGATTATTATTTTAACAATCTTGGTTTTAATAATAATCAAGGTAAACAAATTCTTCAATATTTGAATATTTATTAAATTTTTTAAAAAATTTAATTCGTTAAATTTTCAGATTCACGAGTTGAAGCACTTCACCAACAAATTTTATATGCTATCAATGAGCAAAGAATGACAAATCCATTACTAAATCATTATCCTAACGAATTTAGTTTTGGTAATAATAACCAAGGTAAACAAAGTCTTCAATATCTGCACATTTAATATTTATTAAATTTTTAAAAAAATTTAATTTGTTTAATTTTTGTTTTTGATTACAAAGTCGAAACATTATTTCATCAACAAACTTTACAAACTGTAAACACTACTAGTGAGCAAGAAATGTCAAATCCATCATTAAATTTTAGTTTTAATCTCAATAATAATAATAACAACAACAACAACAACAATATGTTGATGAGAAGTGGATTCACTTATAATTTATTCAATTCAGAAAATCTTTATATATAAGTAATAGTAATAAAATAGCTGGGTTACGCTGATAATAATAATAATAATAATAATAATAATAATAATAATAATAATAATAATAATAATAATAATAATAATAATAATA